AGAAATTCTTTGGGTTTTAAGCGATGGTGATGCTCTTAGACGCATGATAAATCATTGGTTTCTCCACATATTTTTTTGGTTGAATTATATGATGTACTAGTCTCTTCAAATCAATTTTAACCGGCTTGAGGTCCTTAAAGCTTGGTCCAAAAACTGGTTGTAGTTACAACACTTGTGATGATATTTTCCGTGTCTGAATTACACTTGAACCGCAACAATTTCCACACAGCGGTTTGTTATGCATCGTTCGATCCGCGGTACGCTCCTTGTTTTACATTTGTTTATGTTTATTACCAGTTTTACGCTTGCTTCCTTTGCTTATTACGGAATAAGAATTGGAGCAGAAGAAGACTCGTATTCGTATTATCCCAAATCTCCAATATTTCAGGGAATGATGACTCCGTCACAGTACTGTCCCAACCTCACCACTTCTCCAACAATCCTTTCCTATTTACCATTTTGCCACTACACTCCATTCCTTCCTCTTCCTTGCCATTTCGCATCTACTTTCCTCTCAACCAAACGCCCATCGAATTTCGTTTCAGTTTCCCGAGAAAAACCCAGAATTTCTCCTCCATCTTCAATGGCGACTCCGACTCAGAGCAGCGAAACCAAACCCTTCTCTGTTCTATTTGTCTGTCTAGGAAACATCTGTCGAAGCCCTGCAGCTGAAGGTGTCTTCAGGGATATTGTGAAGAAGAGAGGGCTCGATTCCAAATTCAACATCGATTCCGCCGGAACCATCGATTATCACGAGGTCATTATCCTTCTTCTTTTGCATTTCGAATCAAACAGAAACAAAACACAATAATTGAATCTAATTTAGGGGTTTGGAAGAAGATGGATTGATGCCTGATTGAAACAATTAGTGGAAATGATGCGAAATAGATTGATTTTGGTTTTTTGGGTTTTAGTGATGTGATTTGGTGGGAACTGCTGTTTTTGTTTGTTTGTTTACAAGGGGAATATGGCAGATCCAAGAATGAGAAGTGCTGCGAAACGTCGTGGAGTTGAGATAACATCATTATCAAGACCTATAAAGGCTTCTGATTTCACTGAATTTGATCTCATTCTTGCAATGGACGACCAGAACAAAGGTACAAGGAAGAGTGATTAGTATTATTATTATTGTATTTGAACATCCTATAAGAACTGTTTGGTTGTATAAATTTCTCTGCAAAGGGGAAGGAATTTGCAAGTTGAGATTTGATGTATGTTTGCACTTTGCAGAGGACATATTGAAAGCTTTTAATGTATGGAAAGGCAGAGGGAATCTCCCACCAGATGCGGATAAAAAGGTACCGACGATGGACCTTGTAACTATTTTTGGGAGATTTTATAACAAGTTTTCACTGTGTTTCAGGTTAAGCTAATGTGTTCATATTGCAAGAAACACAGTGACAAGTTTGTTCCTGACCCGTATTATGGTGGAGCTCAAGGTTTTGAGAAGGTAATAACCATATTGGAGAATTAGCCATCTTTTTATTGAATGGAGAAGCTGAATATTTATGCTAAATGTTGGTTTAGAGAGATGTTACCTATATATTCAGCTATATGATTTTGTTTATAAGACATTAATAACGACATGCAATTGTCACTCCTTCAATTCCAGGATTTTCTTGTCTTCTTAGGACAAAACTCGGAAACTTGAACCTGGATTCTTGATTCTACGTGTTTCTTTCACAGGTACTGGACTTGCTTGAAGATGCATGCGAGTCTTTGCTGGACAGTATCACACCAGAAAATTGAGATCGCAAGTTCAAAGTTCCAATTTCCGTACACTTGGTTGATTCTGATCGATGGCTTTGCACATAAAGATTGAAACTTGTGTTATTACATTCAGTGACATCTTCAATGTGTCAATCATGTGAAGCTAAAATCATGTCCATGTTCTAAATCCTAAACTCGATTTTACATTGTAGTAACGATCTCTCTGATTTCTAGAAGTTTTTCTGTTAAAATCCTAAACACGATTTTGCATTTTAGTAACGATTTCTGATATTTGTTTAGATTGGTCCAACGACCGTAGCGACGAGAACCCAAATCCATCCTGTATTCGTATTGACATGTTCTAATCATCTGTATTGCATATGCCAAATCATGGTTACTCCGTAAATAAGAGGAGGTCACTTTAACCAAATTTGAACACACAATGAAGAGATCCATCCCAAATTTATCTTTAGAAATCAGAGAAATCAACAACATCTCAACTTACAAATAAAAGTCTCCAGAAACATTCTTAGTTTATTACAACAAACTAGTTCCAAATATTGTTCTCTTGATACTTATTAAGATAAGAAGATCTCTTTTACTTAATGGATGGATAGGCGTGGGACACAATAGTCAGCAAGCAGAGTAGTCGGCTCTATGCCCCGGGCGTAGTCGGCAAACATTCTGCTCATCGCCACGTTGACAAACCTAAAGCTGTTCTTGTACCATAGCTTCACTATAGCTATGGACTTTCCCCCTATCATCTGCTCTTCAACTATTATGCCGTCTCTAAGTCCAACATAGCCGGATGGCTCACCTGACGAACCACAGTAAATTGCCTACCACACAAAAACAAATGAACAAATATTAGATCAAATCTTAGACATATATCTCTCATTTTTATTGAATATAACTAACAGCACTTACGTCTTGTTGAAGATCAATGTGTGGACTGAACACATGCAGTTTTGCCCCCACCGGTTGATGCATCAACCAGTCCCGTGCTTCCTCCACATTCCGAGTCTCAATCACTTGTCCTTTCATGGAAACAAGAGCAGGTTTGTACGATGAAGGAGGCTTTGACACAGATCCCAAGTGTGGCCAATCTTCTGCTTTCGGTATGCCTTTATTCAACACAAACTTAAGGCAGTCTTTGACAGTGAGCTTGAGATCTTGTCTTCTCTGCTGCCTGGAACGAGCATTGTCCACCAGATACTGAGCTGAGTACTCAGTGTACACTGTGTCGAGCTTAAGTGAAAGCCGTGCAGAGCTTATCAGATCAACCGCTACGATAGCCGCAGAGACAGATGCATCTGCAAGACAAAACAGAAACGGAAATGAATCAAATGTGATTGCATTCCCACGTAAAGTCAACTCATTTCCTCTTACAAGAGAGGAGATAAAAAACTGTTATAAACAAAACAAGAGTAGGTACTTTCGTAAAAACCAAATCAAAAAAGTATTTTATAGAGTGAAAAGTTACCGTGGTCTACGTCATCGTCGATCTTAAGGTCTCCAGTTCGATAAGCCATTGTGAAATCGGGATCATAGGGGAGTGCCATCTGCAATTACTTAACCCTGAATGCAAATGAAATTTTCAATGTTCCAATAACAGATTATGAATGTGAACAGAAAATGGAAAAACCATCATGAAGCGAATCAAAGTGAAACGTTTTTAAAAAAGTGATAGCAGTCATTTTCCTCAGATGCGTTAACGAAAGAGAGGAAAAGCAAGAGAGGTTGGTTCCAAATTAGAGGAAAGAAATAGCAAAATCAGAGAGAGAACCAGAGTAACAGAACAAGACCTAACTACCAAGGAGAAACCTGAAGCTGGACAAAGACATAACCACTTCTATCACTGACAAATCAAGCGAGTGTAATAGCTTCTTTCCCAAAGAATGACCAACATAAACAAGGATTCCACATCATTCACCCAAAAAAGGTTAAACCCTAAAAGTTCACGAAAAGCTCATCATTGTAACCTAATCACACTGAAAAAAGAATCATTCGTAGCAAACCAAAGCAAGCTAAAGGAAAAAAATACGAACAGAGAAACAAAATGAGAAACCCTAAACACTAACACTAATCGCACATATCAAAAGCAGAATCAGCAACAAAAACGAAGCAACCAAAAGACTAAGAACCAAAACGAGAAAGTCGAGAAGCTTACCGGAGACAGAAAGAAACAACAATGGCGGAATCGGAACAAGTCGCCAGCCGCAACCTACAGTCTCCGTCGCTTGGAAAATGAGTGAGATGAGACTACTAAAGTGGCTTGATATTTATTTCAAAACACGCCCAAACCGACGACGTTTGAAGACAAAAACACACATGTGTTGTTTTGGGCTTTTCTTGGGTTTCGGATTTTGGCAGTGAATTTTGAAGTTATGTAAAGCACAAGTGGTGACTTTGTTTGGTTAATGTGATTATCTAGAGAAACTTGAGATGTTTGCCTCTTTTAAGATTATTTACATAATTGTCTAGAGAATCTCCAACCACATTTGTTATGAAACATTGTAAATAAAATCATTTTTATTAAGCAATATCCCATAAGAGTAACAATGATACTGTTTTGTTTTCTATAACATACACCCGCTTTCTTTGGCAATGATCCATTCCTCTTGTTGGAGTCAAACATCGACCCGCATAGCGTAAATGGGGTTCTTGAAGCGACAAATCTATACTTATAAAGTTATAATTGTGAGGTCGAAAATCCTACGTGTCGTCTCCAAAGTGATTTTAAGACTTAGTTTGCCTATATTACCCTTAATGATCGATATAATTACATATTCAGGCCATCAGCCAATATTTTTGTAAAAATTTCGTTTGGCCCACTGTTTTAATAACATATTCGATTTTCTGTGATATAATATAACTAGATTTTATGTAAATCTTACATTCTTATCATGACGTATATAAAAAAAAATTATTTTGATTATTTGATTAGAAACCCTAGGTTTTTTTTATATATATATACATGTTTCTTCTCTTCCCATGGCATATTGTAGTTTTGCTTTTTCTATTATTATTTTAGTTTTTTAAGGTGGATGAGCTCTGACTTCTTCGTCGTCTAGGTATTGGATATATATTTTGTTCTTGGCTTGAAACCCTATCGCAGGTTTGGTCTGAACGTATGAATTGCTTCGGTCTGATGTTTTGAAGCACGGCTTGGGATTTGAAACCATGGTGAAGAACATCGATTAAAGAACCACCTCGCAAAAGATCTGAACATGGTACATCTCTGCACTAATTTGTTTGGAGTGATTGGGTAGCAATGACTTCAAACAGTCCTCTTGAGAGTTTATAGAGACACTAGAATCAACAATCTGTCACTAACTACAACACGTTGTTAGAGATTATTCATCGGATTCCAAAGGAGTAACCTTTGCATAAAGCGAAGGGTTTATAAAGTGTTTTCTACAAAATAAAAGAGCATAATTCTACATGAAAAAAGGAATCTTCCCCATGAGGTTTACATCTAATACTAAATTTCTCCACAATATTTTTTATTTTTAGGTAAAAACATTGGAGAGAATTGAAAAAAACAATTTTTATGGGTTCTCTAATGCAATCTTAGCCATAGATGGAGAAAACACCACTAGGGATTCAATTCGTGGAACGCATCAAAGGGTCAAAGCTCGTGACAATGCATATCAAGCCATGGACGTGATCGTGACTTTTTGACCCACAATCTCCATACGCATGGCTTAACTCGATCATTTTAAGGTTTGAATCCTCTGTTAAAACCGGAAAAGAACAAAAAGTTGAACTTTGTTTAATGGACCGAATGGAACGGTTTTGCTCGGTGATATTGACGTTGCGTTTCTTGCGGTTTACACTTTTAGAATGTATTTCGCTGGAGATTTAGGAGATATGATGAATTAAGGATATTCTTGACGGTTGGATCGGTACCTAATTGTTTACTTCTCTGTTCGGAATTGTGTTTAACCAAAAAGTCCAACAAT